GGATCGAAGAGCCTTGATACTCTTACCCAACTGTTTCTCAACTTCCGTCGGAAACTACTTGAATTTCTCCAAAGCTTCGGATTTGTGAGACATAAGGTATATGTATCCAAATCTTGAGTAATCATCCGTTAAGGTGATGAAGTACTTAAATTCTCCTGTAGCCCGAGTACTAATGGGTCCACAAATATTGGAATGTACCAATTCCAAAACTTCTTTAGCTCATAGTCCTATAGCCTTTACAAATATCGGAATGTTGGTATANATCCCTTGGTCATCTTTCCTTCTATACAAGATTCGCATGTTGGTATAGATTCCACCTCTAACTCATTTAAAGGTCCATCCTTTACCAATCTTTGGATCATGTTTAGATTAATATGACCCAACCTAAGATACCATAAGAGAGTTTCATTGGTACTAGACGATCTCTTTCTTTTCTTAGTAGTAGTAGTGTTATGTATAAAATCAATCATAGGACTTAAGATATAGAGACTATTAACCATATGACCCGAACATATAACAGAATTATTCAACTTGATAACCACTGTAGAACGGCTAAAAAGTACTAAATAACCAACACGATATAAAGTACAACGGAAACTAAGTTTCGTGTAAGTTCGAGAACATAATAACAGTCATCCAAAATCAAATGTCTACGATTTTCAAAACATAAAGTAGAGGTGCCAATTGCTTTGGCGGATACTACTGCTCATGTACCGACTTTAAGAGTGTACTCCCCTTCACTGAGGTGCTTGGTTTCTTGGAACCCCTGCAAAGAATTGCATATATGATTAGTGGCTCCATAATCTACAATCTAGGTCCTAGTAGAATCAACCACAAAGCATGACTCAATGAATAGGGTATTGCCTTTACCTTGCTTCCCTTTAGCTAGGTTATCCGAGCAATTTCTCTTCCAATGTCCCTTCTGTCCACAAGAAAAACACTTTCCCTTTGGTTTCCCGTCAGTAGTGATTTTCTTTCCCTTTGACTTTCCATCTTGCTTTTTGATTGGCCTCTTCCTCTTGATTCCTCCTTTGCCACTAGAAGGCTTAGGATGAGAGGATCCGGCTGTCACAAATAAAACATTTCCACTTCTAGCTTTGAGAACAGTTTCAGCATTTTGGAATTCTTTCATTAATTCCTTCAGAGACATGTCCATCTTGTGTAGATTATAATCAACTATGAACTGTGAGAACATCTCAGCGAAAGTCTCAAGGACCATGTCAATATGCATCTCGGAATCAATGTTAGCTCCTAAAACCTCTGTAGCATTGAAGTGACCAATCATGGTTCACATGTGGTCCCTCACAGATGTGTCTGGTTTCATGCGCGTGTACATAATCGCCCTAATGGAAGCTTGCCTAGCTTGTCAGCTTTGATATCCAAACATCTCTTGAAGACTTTCCATCATGTCAAAAGCGATTTCGATATTGTGATGAATCTGTTGCAGCACATTTGACATGGATGCCAAAAATGTAGCAACGGGCCATCTCATCAGAATGACGCCACTTTTCATATGCAGCCTTTTGAGATTCTGTGGAATCATCTTTAGGGGGTTCGGGACAAATTTCAGTCAGCACAAATTTGTGTTTTTCGGCAGTAAGAACAATGTTAAGATTTCTTTTCCAATCAACGTAGTTTTTATCATCTTTAGGGGGTTCGGGACAAATTTCAGTCATCACATATTTGTGTTTTTCGACAGTTAGAACAATGTTAAGATTTCTTTTCCAATCAACGTAGTTTTATCTCACAAGTTGATCTAGTTTAAGTATCACTGATAATAGATTAAGGGACATTTTGCTGAAAAAAATTAACGATTTGCGTATTAATTAAAATGAGCAATAATCTTTGTATGATGCATGTATATGAGTATGTGAATATAGACCCCAAAACTATATTTTTTAAAATCAAAGACCTTAAACCCTTACAACTTTAAACACGCCCTCTATATGAGGTCAATGTAGTTGGCGGCAAGGTTGGGACCCTCCTACTCATTTTATTGAGCTAGGCATCTTATGCCACAATGTAATGAGGATTGATTATTATTTGGCCAATGAATAATGTTGTTGGAACCTTCTATAGGAAGTCCTCCAAAAAATATTCATATATAAGTGTAATAACATCCGTCAATAATTTTAAAATATCTAAAATATGTGAGATGTTATCTATAGGATAATCACCCCATTATTCTATTTTGAAATTTCTATAACAAGATCCAATTTCAGTTAATCTAAAATAACACAGTTTTCCTATAGGGAGACCAATGTAATTCGATACCAAACATACGCATTTTAATTGTAAATTGGATGACGAAGGAGGTCGCAGTTTTATACATGCCTATAAACCCTCTCCCACTTATTATTTTTGAAAAAATGGGTTTTCTTTAATAATTACTCGACCAAATATAAACAATTATAATGGCACCAAATTATCAATAATATTTTTCCGTCACTTCTAATTAATTTAAAGTGATGAAAAATTATTTAATACTAATGCATAATATTTTAGTGCACCGGTTGGTGTTTCATTTAATCTACATGACATGTAATAATCATTCATCCATTCATCATCCATAAAGCAATAATTAAATGAATAATAATCACTTATGGCCCATCCTAAGAATTAAAATTACAACAAAAATTAAAGTATTCTATTGGGCCACATTCTGGACCAAATCTCCAATTTCCTTGTAGTCCAATCCATACTTCCAAGTGTGGGCCAATTTAATTTTTGAGTACCAATCTTAAAAACAAGAAAACCCTTATCCAACAAGATAGGCCCAAGTTTTCAAGAAAAGCCCAAAAAATAAAAACTGAGCCCCACTTGTACAAACCCTAGCAAAAATACAAGTACCACTTCCACCACCACCTCCGGCTGCTTCCGACAGTACGTTCTTTCGGTGGTAAACAATTTTATTTTTATTTATTTATTTATTTATTTTTTTTTTTGCTTTTCTGGTTCAAACATCTTCATCTACATGCTCTTCCTCTAACAATAAGTTCATACCATGGATTTTTTTTCTCCAAAATACATAAAACCCTAGTGACTTATGGCTTACAAACATTATAGACAAGAGAGCAATAAAAAGAATAAATTACAACAATAGGAAGCAAAAAATTCTATGGCCAAAAGTGATTATGCATAAACATCTACTTTAACATTTAAAGCAATAACATGTCAAATCAAATATTCTAACACCACCCACACTAAAAATGCATTTTACACTTGAATTAAAAAAAAAACTTTAATCCTACTCAAGGTTTTCAACAACCATGTCTCTGATACCATTTGTTGGATTGGAGATTTTTAATTATCACAAAAGGAAATTAATTTTTCTTTGACGATTCAACCCAGAAGGATGGTGGATCTTAGATCATCTTGAGATCATAGGATGTTTTTGCTTGAATCCTCACATATAAATGATGAGATGATAACCTTGAATGAGCTTTTAATGGCCTAACCAAATGCTTCCTCACTTAGATCTTCTCTCTTGTGCTCCTTAGGTGCCTCTCATTTCTTTGAGAAAATGGAAAACGGCTAAAACCCTAACGTTAGTAAATGTGCCCTTAAATGGCATATTTATAACACACAATTAGGGTTTCATATTTGCACAAATTTCCTTGGACTTTATTCTAGTAGACCAATTAAGTCATACACCTTTATTGGAGCCAAATGAAGGACCTAACCGGACTCACAATACTCAAGCTCCAATAGATGTTTTTAATTGGGTCAACTCTTAACCAATTGAGATATATCTATTAATCTCAACTTACTCTACCCAAAAAGGGGATTGCGCACTTGATTCGAATGAAAATTATAGAAGCCAATTATGATTTGTTAACAATATCCTCTGATCACCGTTCCACAAGTCAACCCCTGTTTGACCGTCAATATGTTGAAGTTGACAAAATGACCGTTTTGCCCTTCAACGTGTATTTCTCTCTGAGTCCCACTTCATAAGGCGAATTCCAACGATCTCATTGTCGGACTACTGAGCTCAAGTTCAATCCCTTTAGAAAATATCTTAGAGTGACGATCGTCTCATCATGATGATTAACGAATTCCACTATTGCGTGTATATGATCTCTAACTGCTTCGCCCGGATTCCCAAGGCACCGAGATTGATCTTCTAATTTAGACTTTATTCATTGGTACATCAAAGAACTTGAACTAGCAATTAAAGGTACATCACTTGCTCAAGATTTAGGTGACTTGTTCGATAATCGAGTGGTGTCTCATTTCGAGCGGTCACAAATGAGTCATCCACGCAGTCCTGTTCAACATGCTTCAAAACACGTTGTTCTTCTTATTCCTAGGTCTAGACAAATCTTAATAAGAACAATGCAATCTTATCAACATAAAGTGTCGAACTTCATGTACCGATTGCGAACGACATATTTTGATCATATAACGAATTATGTCTCACTATACCCAAACCGTCAAGTATACAATTTGTTATTTCATATGATCATAGAACCTTAGATTATTGTCTCAAATTCTAACATGTGAATAATAGAACGTTAATTCATAATGTCGTCACAATATACTTATTACAAAAGGGCATCAAACTAACATAAAGTTTTATTCAAAATCTGCACATATTTATTAATAATTTCGTGTGTCTGCACACGTGTGAATATCATGAAGAATAATTGCCTTAGATTTTTAAAAGAACACACCACAGTTACAGTCAAACTAAGCTACTAAACATCACAAAAACAAATCCACATAACAAGAACATTGTGTTTTAATCCAAAAATAAATAACGGGATCTTGTTAATGGTGATTATGTACAACTTAAAATCTAAGTTTAGAACACATTAGTCCGCCAAAAGATTAATCTGTATATGTATAACAGAAGTTACATAAGAAACAATTGATGATCACACAATCAACTTACAAAGGCTAAGATAACAGTAGTACGAGTAGGAGATTGGACATCTAAACTCTAGCCGACTGTAGTGAACATCAACACAACACAACACAAGCATGTTACCAGATATTTATGCCCACCAGGGCTTCTCCATCAACTCTTTTGAAAACAAATATCGGAACTTAGAATTGTAAGGCAGCCATTTGATGATCAGAGATGCCCTTTTATTTGGTCTGAGATCAAGGCACTTCTGTATTGTATCATCAAGCTTCTTGTCAACATTTTCAGTAACCCACTTTAGAAGATCATCACTAGAAATGTAGGCTTCCTTCACGTACTTTTCTACAAGTTTAGGTAAAAACACTTTCTTCGACTTTTTGACGACCATATTTGCTTGAACAAACTCTCTCTTTGCCACTTTGAGTTCCTCTTCAACATTTGAGGCTGTGTATACATTTAGCTACAAAAACAAGAGATTTGGTCATCCTAACTAGACATTGTTTCATTGAAGCTTTGGATATATGCTTGGAAGCCACATAGAGAAAGACTGATGTAAAATTGAGCAAGTACATCTTATGTAAAGCTATCTTTTACCTTTTAAAGAAGAGAATATGATAGGAATGACCCCCTAAGGCTAGCATGTGCAATAAACTAGATAATGAACAAGATTCATTACTTTTTATATAATTCTGGGGATGTATTTTATTCCATGATTTGGGTGTACCTAGAAAGACTCATACACACAAGGTGGCAGAACGTGGGGAAGCTCTCCATTTCTGGTCATCATGTAGCTTGCTTTAGTCAATAGCTCAAAAACTTGTAAGTCAAAGCACATCTAACCTTATGGGATGGAGTGACTATGATGGTCACTAAAATGAGAATTTCTATTTGCACTAGCGCATTTTATGAGATGGAAGCACTAAACAAGATGTAGAGATAACTTTTCTTGAAAATACAATCACCGTACTTGATTTTCTTCGAACTACTATGCTATGTATGTCCTTAATATTGAGAAAGCAATAGACTCAGATAATATAATTAATTACCATGAGAAGTCAATAAGTGAGATCATATTGCATGTCAATGTCCTCAATAACTTGAGAAATTAGTTTATACGATTATATGAAATATATAGTCAATATGGACATCTTGATGCACACGAGCATTGTCGACAATCTCATGACATAATTCACATATCTGAAGAAGAACAAGTCACAGGAGGATTGAAACTGATGGGCTTGACTGGAGCTCACTTGATGGCACAACATTTTATTTGATTACATGACTCTGTTCACATATAATAAGAAGAGCAGATCATGGGATTGAAACTGATGGACTCAGCTGGAGCTTGATTGATGGCATAATATTTTATTTGATTGCACCTTTTTTCTATTGCAAGTTTTCATTTATAGCTTTAGTCTTTATTTTATTTTATTTTATTAAGCATTGTTGTTAAGGGGGAATGACGGTGGTTTTCTTCATTGAAACAATTTGTGAAATGTGGAGATTTCTATTTCTCTGTCATTCCAGAACCGCATTCAATTTTCTGAAGATTCTTGTTTTCATTATCATCAATAATTTTACTGCATCACATCTTTTTGAACTAATTCTATTGGTTATCATGAATTATGTGCACGGTATTATAACACGATCAGTCTAGTTTGGATATATAATCGCCACATTTATTTGATATCATATTTCAAATTTAGACATGTTATGCTGATCACGTATTTCTTGTTAGTAATTCAAGAAAGGTTAGAACGTCAGGATATAATCTAACAGGTTGATAGCATTAAGTCCTCTGAATGATAGATATCATAATTCATCCTCACAGGACTACGAGAATATCTTGGCCCAACTTCCACTCATAAGCACTAGTCGAGTTATTACTACCTCCAAAACCGCAAATTATTAGAAATCATAATTAACAGGTTGCTAATATACCTTCCCAAAACACTAACTCTAGCAATGAGAAGCTAGAAAAGAGAATTTTTTAGGTAACTATAGACAATAGAAAGGAAATATATAAATGATATCAGAAATCTGACGCAAGAGATTACCGAGGGGTCAGAATGAGCTCCGGTACACAGGGCAAAGCAAACAAGTGGTTGACAATTTTTAAGGCCAAATTTTGAACTGACTAGTTTATTTTCTTCTCCAGATCTTTTTCTCATAGCAGTTGACAACACGGTCTCTAGCCACTGCAATTGACATGAAACAGAACAGCATGCGAAAATGAAATAAGGGATCATTTACTTTTATTTTAACGTCATATAGATAGGCGATGTAACATGTAACGGTATAAATGCTATTTAGTATTGTCATATGCAACTCTTTGACACTGTAAAATCCTAAAAATGCTATTTTCCTTCACTTCTATACAGAAAAGGTACAACTTGCAATTACTACTACAATATAAATAATAGGTCATGCTTAGAAGGGCTTGCCATAGGAGCAATCTTCATTATTATTCATTTTCTCGGTTCCATGTGGAATACCTGCTTACATGATCCGTTATCCTGCCTTTAAGTTATGAAATAAGCATGTAAAGTCAATATTTCAACAGTTACAATTTTAACTCATTCTACCAATCATGTGAGGCATGCACATATTTACCGAGAATATAATTAAGCTAGATTGTTGTAAATGCTTTTATGAATCATTTTCATTGTTAAGGAAGATTAAAGTGATACCTGTCCTATTCGAGGGGTACGAAAGCAAAATATTGACTGCTCGATGGTACTTGCACTTATGACATGGCCACCGACATTGTAAGCAGCCTGCAACACAGAGATACACCAGCAATTATTTATGGAATCGAAATATATCTAGATATTTATTTATGGATGACATGGTTTTAGTTGATAAGATTAGAATGGGAATAAAGCATAAATTAGAACTTTGGAAGAGTGCTTTGGAATATGAAGATTTTAGGTTAAGCTTCATAAAACCACCCAGAGTACATAAAATGTCCTTTTAGTAAAAGTAGCATTCAACCATCTCATCTAAAAGTTTCAACTAATAGAGAGGAGGAAAATTACTGTTCACAGCTTTCATGATGGCAATGAGATTTGAATTCGGGACATTTGTTGCTCAGACACCAGAACCACCTCATAAAAAATCTCAAGAGAAGGATAATGAAGCTTTTATGAATTCTTAATCTCATTTTGACCATCATTCCTTCTATAATATGATGAATGGTAGTTGGTAGTTTATCATTTCATTTCAAGTCAAGTTGCATTAGTNTTTCAAGTCAAGTTGCATAAGTTTATAATTTAGCCTTGTACTAGTAGAGTTGATAGAAGACTGAGCAAGATTCATGGCTCGTAATCTAAATCATTGACTTCTCTTTGCTCAATCAAAAAACACACGGTTCCTCCAAGTTTTCTCTTCTTCTTTGTTCCAACATCAAGTTTGTTTTAGAAGGGACACAGTTATTTAATTTAATTTTGTCTCCACAACGTCTCTTAATGTGCAAGTCAGATTCTTTTTTAACAAAGACCTGATACATACACAAATTTCCTAGCTGGAGGTGATGGACTTGAACTCAGGACGTGCCTATTCAGATACCAATTCAAACTACTTTATTAGAGAGGGACACATTTATTTATTTAAATTTAGTTTTCAAAAAGTACAAATAAACATAATAATGAAATCTATGTAGATGACTATGTTGCCCTAAGGTTATTGATTTGAGCATGAAGGTTTGATTACTGACAAGGAATAAGGAATTGGAAATGACATAATGCATTAAAACAATTTGGATGAAATAGAGAATTTCTATAGTAATTCTTCATGACCGACTATCCTACATAGTTGAAAGACCTGTAATGAGCATGGGGCTCATAAAGTACAAGATGTTCAGTTATGTGACAAATGTCACAGAAATAATATCACTATGATGGATTTGTATAAATAATAAAAATGGATAAGACAAGAACTCAGAATATACGCTATGAAACTGAGGTGGCATCGATTGAGCATGGTGCAAAAGCGTTTAGGAATTCTTGTAATAAGAATTGAAAATAAGAACTATATTGGAATAATCTTGTTTGTATTGTTACCCAAAAAATGTACAATGCTTTTGTATTTATAGGAAATATTATTCCTCAATCCTATTAATATAAGGAAACGAAATTCTAAAAGGAAATAAACTAAAATCCTAATCTAAACAAGAAATACGAACAAAAAGATAAAAACCTATTACAACTAGAAAAGATAAACATAATTGAAAGATAAACACAACTAGAAAAGGTATATCACAATTGTAATAAGAAACAGTAAATGATGAATTATATACTACATCAATCCCCTCCACTTGAATAAAACTTGTTCTTGAGTTTTCTTGAAGAAAAAATCAACCAATCGAAAGGAAAATACTCAAAAATTTATGTCAATACTGATACTGAAAAAAATTCAATTCTTTAATGTGCTCGAAAAACGTTATATTCTTCAGTAGCATTCTTTGAAGTCAAATTCATTCTTACCATGCTCATTATATTTTCTTCACAGACGAGTTCTATGTAACATTCCTTCATAAACAAAGCATGGTTCAATTTGTCATCCTTAAGTCCACTCTCGACAAAGATCACTGATGCTATTTTTTAATGCAATTCATTGGCTTCGTGATTGAAAATTTCCATTCCTTCCTATCTTGTTGAACACTTCTGAACTTCAACTTGTTCATCATTGGAGTGGGCTTGATCTTGGGGTTTTCAATTGCAATTTTACCGAAATGTTTTTCATCGTTACTTTTATTTTCATTATCAATTTCCATATAAAAGGAATCAACAGGTTTCGGATTTTCAACTTGTACATACTTCTATTTTTCTATTGTAGCATCATGTATTGTAACATCTTCAATTCCTTGAACTGCATCTTTTATAAACTCATCATCTACCTTATAAATCATTTTCTCTTTGTTAACTCTAGTATTCACAAATTGCTCATCACATGATACCTAAACAATCTTTTTATCGTACCACCAAAACATATACCTATTATTTCGACTTATGTAAGTGGCATCTACATTACAGTATCATGGTTGTCCCCAAAGTACATGACAATCGTCCATCTCTAACACATTACATATAATCTTATCTTTATAGTACTTTCCAATAGAAATTGAAATTTTACGTACCTCCATATTTTGAATTTCTTGCCTCCTTTTAACTTATGAAGCTTGGTAGCCAAATTAATATTTTTCAGTCTTCAAATTTAAAGTTTTAACCAATACTTTAGATACCAAGTTTTCACTATTCTCATAATTTATTATCACTTTGCATACTTTGTTTTGATGGTGTATCGTGTTATAAAATTCTTGTTACGCTTCAAATTAGATTATTTTATATATTCTCGATAGACCTTCGCAGAATAGTTGATAACTTGTTTATTTTCAAACTTAGCAGGGACTCGAGAAAACTCTTCAGTCACCTGTTGCCGTGTTTCAAGCTTGTCGAAGTAACCAACATTCATAGCAGTTAAAGTCTACAAATTCTTGTCAACTGCTTCTTCAAACATATCCATCGTTGGTTCCAAATTCTGGACCAAGGTTGGTTTCCCAATCCTCCGATCATCGTGAAGATACGTACCACTAACCCCATAGGTATCCATCAGCCAAGGGCAAACCTTGCTCTGATACCAATTTAGTGCAAAAGCGTTCATGAATTCTTGTAATAAGAATTGAAATTAAGAACTATATTGGAGTAATCGTGTTTGTATTGATTTATGATTGTTTGTTATCCAAAAAGTGCACAATGTCTTTGTATTTATAGGCCAAATTATTTCATAATCCTGTTAATATAAGGACTAAATTCTAGAAGGAAATAAACTAAATCCTAATCTAAATAAAAAATAAGAATAAAAAGATAAAATATATTACAACTAGAAAAGTTAAACATAATTGAAAGATAAACACAACTAAAAAATGTATATCACAATTGTAGTATAAAACTACTAATGAGGATTATATACTACATCAGAGCATACATTAAGAGAACAACAACTTAAGTGGTTAGAATATGTATTGTTTAGACCGAAAGAAGCCATTATCCCTAAAAGTGATGCAATCTTCATAGGGCGCTAGAACGAGTTAATAGAGAGATGGTTAGACAGAAATAATATGGTTTGTGGTTGAAGGTGGCCGAGCCAGGATTTTTGGTTTGGGGGCACTATGGCGGTCAATGGCACTACTATGGCCAAAGTGCGCATTTGAATCTACCTATTTAATTCAAAAACTTCGTTAAGAAAATATAAAAGTAATCAACTTTGACTAACCTTGCATAGAAATACAAATAAGATAGTGAAGAATATAGAAAAAAGGAATCAACATTTTATTTAAATTTCAAATTTAGATTACACGATACTCGAATCAAAAACAATTACGAACAAAAAGATTATAATTGTTGTTTTAACCTAAAGAAGTGCTGTTTTAAGGGCATACTTGGTTTTGTCTTGTAATTTGCCTTTGTTTTATTTATTTTTTTCGCCACGATCAAACTCGGTGGTTGATATTTTCAAATTTACCCATATATAATGGTGATGAATGTAGTTTACTTAGTCGATTCAATGGTAGAGATTGTGGTTTAGCTTAAATTTTAGTAGAATGATAGGTTTATGCGCATGAAGGCGAGAGCTTTGATGGTACATAGATTGACTACATAGTTGATAATGAAAGCTTCTGTGCATGCAAAAAAGAAAGAGGTTGATGGAAATATGAAAAAAGGACTAACAATGCAAAGGGAACTAAAGATTGCGGATTAAAAAGTCCGATTTTAAAGGATGGAAATGAATATGCTATCGATGCTAAAGGCTAGGGACTGATTATGCAAATTTCTCTAATATAAAAGGAAAATAAATAGTGTAGATACTGGGATTCTAACCAAGGTGTCTGCAACCATAAAGCACAACATTAACCACTAAACTATTGCGTGGTGCCTTGGGATATGACAGATCTTCTTTTGGCATGATTGTTGGATGGGGTAATTCTACATTGGCATCCATTTTTCCACACAGACAGCATACATCTGCGAAGGTGCAGGACTTTTTCGAGGAGACTGGATGGGATTTTGGGCGATTACTTCAGGCTCTTCCATCAGCTATGGCACAGCAGATCGCGACCATTCCACTATGTCTTGATGTCTCGGATCGTATTTTCTGGAGGGTCACATCAGATGGAAGATTTAATACTAAATCAGCATGGTAGTTGATCCGCTCTAGCAGACTACTTCAGGATTCATTTCGCCTACTGTGGAGCCCTATCATACCTACTACCGTTTCATTCTTCTGTTGGAGACTATGGCAGAATTTAATACAAGTTGATGTCATTATCCAGAGGAGGATCGGCGGTCATTTGGCTTCTCGATGTCAGTGTTGTTCTGAGATTGAGACCATCACTCATATTTTTACTGGTAGCAGTATTTCAAATCATGTTTAGCAACATTTTGGGGCTTTATTTCAGATTACCATGAGTACAGGAGAAAGTGTCAGATAGAGATTTCTAAAATGGAGGTATTCTGGACAGTTTGCAAGGACCGGACACATTCGTGTCATTATTCCTCTATTAATTTTCTAGTTTCTTTGGACTGAGAGGAATAATGCACACCACATGAACATACGTATGAGCTCGAGACGTATTATCAGGAAAGTTTACCGTATGGTATCATTCCTCCATATTGGTGGACTATTCCAACCGTTNTAATGTGGCATGTGGTTTTCATGTACAACCACAAATGAACTATGATCTTTATTCAAACACATATAACCAGGGATGGAGGGATCATCTTAATATTAGCTATGGGAATCCACAAGTAAATCAACCCGCAACTCAAAATCGCCCAAGGTTGAGGCAGATTCGACTGTTGCCATTCACTGCATCACCGATGTGGCAAACCGTGGCTTATCCAGGGGATACTGAGACAGATTGCAGATATCATTTTATTTGACAGAGATATGGTCTCCCACATCTTCAGAGAGGAGAACCAAGTTGCAGATATACTTGCTACCTAGGGTTGGTATCATCGTAGTTACTAGGAATATGGACCAGCCGACCTACCACGACGTATCAGGGCGCTTGTTCAGATTAACAGGTATGATTTACCCATCACTAGAGTTTAGGTATTTGTATTTTGCTTTTACCGTTATTTTTGCTTTAACTTGTTCTTTTTGTAAAGGAAGTAGTTCTCATTTTTTACTGCTTTCCTTTTATTCTTTACCTTCATTGTTAGGGAAGTAGTACTTTCTTATTATTGATTTCATTGATATCATTTGTAACCACAGTATTCCTCCGCCACAAGTGAGGACATTTTAATAAAACATCGGAGGTACCGCCCTTCTTCCACCAAAAAAAAAAAACCACTAAACTACGAACAATTTTTAGTTTTTGTTATATTTTTTTAAAAATTTTAAAAATAAAACAAAAGATCCTAAGGGGAGGGGCATGGCATGGCCCCCTTCCCTCCACTCCTGGTGATTAAGGATATAGCTGCATTGGACCTTTAGTAGGCGTAATGATTAATCAGATCATGTTGCTGATCCCAAAATTATTGGGAATATTTTCTTGTTGCATATTCTGGATCCCTCTATTATCCTTTTTTAGAAGTTTTCATTTTTTATCTCCAAGATTTGATTTCCTTTTCTACTCCTTATCATGCCTGAATTCACATGAGCCCTCCTGCCATCGAAACCATCAGTCTTAACTTTCACTTAAGTGGGCAAGGACTAACTCCATAATTCATGCACAGATCTAGACATTCTATATCTACAGAAGCACGTGCCCACAGACGTATGAGACTACAAATTTCATTTGCTTTTACACTGCCACCATCAGATGTGGGTAAAACTGTAAAATTAAGAATAGTTACTGGAATGGCAATTAATTCAATGTTTATATATAATTTTTGGTCATTATTTGACTATATTTCAGCAAACTTGAAAGTCTCTTTATGCCGGTAAAATTTTAGCTTAGGTGACTTTATTACCCAAGAAAATTAACTAAACTTACACAGAGATATGAGCCTGGCATTACGGTTACCAAAACAACTGAACAGTCTTACACCCAAACTTCCGTATAAGGATGGCTAAAAAGGCCATATTGAGATTACAGCCTCGAAAGCATTCTATGCAACACATTGAGAAGTTAACAGATAAAAGCAGTAAAATAAAAGCAGAATCAATGTAGAAAGCCTCTAAATAAGAAAAAAACATATCAGAATACTCTTTAAATCAGTATCTGCTCGAATAGGTTTTGTTCTCTATACAGCCACCTAGTATTCTGAGTGGAAGGAAATACTCATAAGGGCCAAAATGCCGCTTCTCACCCGATGACCAATATAATCAGGAAAGCAAACTATGCTACATAGAAATGTTTAGATAATAATATCCACACCTTGTGAAACAATGCTAACCTTCTGAGCGAGTTTTGTGGTATCCCATAAGCCAGATATGCCTTTGTGAACAAACAAAGAAAAAAAAAATTAACAAGGCAGTGTAAGGAAAAATCCAAATGACAACTAATTTGAAATCTATGAGATGTTTACATGCATAACCAGGGAATTATACAAGTTGATCCAAAATGCTATCTGGGCATTGGTGTCTATCTTACAGACATTAACTTTTTCCAACTGCCCTACCAGAAGTCTGAAATGCCAGAAGATCAAACAATTAATTGCATGAGAAGATATGTAAAGTCCAGTAATTCCTTTGAAGAAGAGTTATACTAGGAACAAAAAATGAGGATCCCATTTGTGCACTCTCCTCCCATGCACTTTCCTTATTAGTAAATCTCATCATCACCATCCCACATATGCTTCCAAATAAGTAAAATACAAGGGAATATGCATATTTAATGTTAGAAGCAGGATATAATAACAAAATTTACAGCTTCTCCATGTTTTAAAGTTTATTATAATCACTTCCTCTCTTCATAAACAGAAAAACAGAAAAAGATGTGGTGGTTAATTGGAAGACATCGCACCTAATCTTCAAGTCCACATAAAATAGAAATCTTCTTTAATCCACAGTGAAAGAAAAAACAATTACTGAAACAAGAACAATCAAAATCCCGTAACCCTAGCAGTAGATTTTTCATTTTACCCAGTAAACCCCAGCTCCTGTTCAGTAAGAGTTCATCATTGATTGTCGGTATTTTGAAGGATGGTATCTATGCAAAATAATATGCACCAGTTACATGTTGCAACAGGATCGAGATCAGACTAATGCCATTAGCCAACAACAGGTGAAGATCTCAATTGACTAGAACATCAAGGACAAACTCGACACAGCAATTATCTAATAAATGTTTATTGCTCAAAACTTCAGATCAAAGATAAGGTCAATTTTCTCATACAACAGATTTTCGATGATCTCGTTCTTCTTTTCTGCACTTGTGCAGGGAAAGACATCTGCCCTTAAACATATGGCTAGGAACTATGGATAGTAAAGCCCTGATCAAAATGACCATACAAAGTTATCCACAAACAAGAAAAAAAGACATTCATGGAATAGCTTCAACTGTCCAGTCAACATTGTACTGTTGGAATCAGAAAGTGCTATATCAACCTCGTGCCAACCTTTACAAAGTGATAAGGATAAAAAATGTTGAACTTGTGTACATGGCCGTTCATCTAGAACTAGATGCAACCAATGTCATTAAAGTTTCTCTAGGCCTAGAGTGTACCTACCCCGTTGGTGTTCTGGATTTTTACTGCAGTATTAGTGACTTATCAATAGGTTGTACTATTGAGGACAGCAGCATCGGAGGAGCACTTTTTTTTAACAAAAAGAATTTTATGATGACCTTACAAGCATATGCTATGCATCATTAGCAACCAACAGCCAATTATTGCCACCTGAAAACAATCTTACACAATTTTATAGTTTTGCAGCAATAATGAATGGTATCAAGCTATTTGAAGATATGCCATTCACTCCGATTCTAACAGAACACTTTGAGAGAACTTCTTAAGTGTGTCTTCCCCTCAATATTTCAAATTTATGAAATGAAAGATCTCTCGCGTTCCTTTTTGACCTGATAAAAAAACTAACCTATAGTTGTTGATGGCATAAGATGCACGGGAGAAGTTATTCTTATCTGTTGATATCCATGATATTTCAACTGAAGATTGGGCTGACCATTCTTTCTTCTCCCCAACGCCTTGCTGTGGAAGTATCGACTTTGTGAAAAACTGTGATTTATTTTGTTCCGTATTGGCTGATGAAGTGCTACGGAGCCAACAGTAAACAGACGCCATACTCCTAACCATTTCCTCTGACAACCTACTTGGACATTGGTAGAGATGATCTTTCAGAGTCCGAGGTGCAGAAGTTTTACTTAGGTTTGGTGCCTGTTCCTGAATCCATAACAAATTTTTATGATGAGATACTTCTATCAATGTACCAAAATTATTTTTTTTTTTTGTAGTAATTTACAAGAACAATAAAGTGTTTTCGAGATAGAGTGATTTAATTGTTGAAACTCGTTCGTTCCACAGCATTTCAAGACAATCTCTAGATAGTATAACGAAGTCTTCTCAAATTATTTTAGTTATTGAACATAAGTGGAGTCATCACACGACATCTTATAATAGGTGAAAAAGGTCAATGCGACCAATATGGTTTTACTACAGATCTGATCCTTTTCTGTGACCCAACATGATCCAATATATACTGCAATGGAGACATGGCATATTGTAACAATATGTTGTCAAAAGTACGAAAAAGTAATCAATTTATTAGTGAATGTATATATTATTGTGCACAATTTCAGATGTCCCAGTTAATGAGGCATATGGTCATTAGAGAGGACTTTATAAATTAATCCACCTACAGCTTTCATTAAGCTCGAATTGTTGAGAAACCGAAGCCACATTCTTACTGTCAACTTCACCAATTATGAAAATGAAACTCATAAATCCATCTATTTTCAATTATCAGAATTTGGGAAGGCCAAATGTCTGTCTTTAAGGTAGCTCATCCCTATCCCTTGCGTGCTTATCCAGTGTCTGCAAGTGTCATTGCGACCAAAGGTAAAACCTCCTTTGTCTTTATGAGCAAAGCATTTTCAGACAGGAAAGGGACCTGACTGCTTTATTTAGAGATTTCCGCACCATTTAGAATTCTTTAAACACTATAGCTACCATTTAAATGGTTAAAGCGCCAGTCGGCATTGCCCAAGTAAAGTATGGTGCTGTTTTTGTGGATCTCTTTATGGATGAGAAGGGGGAGCCTAGGGTTGGGAGTAACCCCCAGTGTTAGGGTAAAAATTCATGGGAAGGACAACCAACCAATTGCTAGTCTCCAGAATCAATATCTGGAAGAAAAACTAGGAGGAAATCAAACAGCGAAGCGTAGCAAAAGCATCAACATGATAAAGAAATTAAATGTGAAAGAATGATATCACATAAGATAATTACTGTGGTTGTGCATTAAAACAAGAAAAATGACTAGTAAAAAATTGTTAAATAAAAGGATTCTTATTTCATATATTCATTGGAGAAACGATACATATATATACAAAGCTTAGGAAACTATTTTAGGAAACTGTACAAATTAGGAAAACCTAGATTTAAGGCAATTAAACCTGATGCCCTAAAATCATTTGACTTGAGAGTTATCGGCCTAAAACTCGCTACAGGAGTCATTTAGAAAGCTAAATGGAGAGATGTCCGCACAAATGGTGAA